TCCTTCCTTCCTTCCTTCCTTCCTTTCCTTCTTTCTCTCTCTTTGTCGTCTTCTTCTTCTTCTTCTTCTTCTTCTTGGGTTTTTGGGTTTTTGAGATGACTTCTTTGGCTGTCCTGGCACTTGCTCTGCAGACCAGGCTGGCCTTGAACTGAGAACTCCACCTGTCCCCTGAGCCCTGGAATTCCAGAATCATGCCTGCAGTTCTGCCTTTTCTTCGGCCCCAGATGGAGGCTCTCCAAAGAGTGAAACTAAGAGTAAGATAAGTAAGATTTGATTCTCATCTCCGCCTCTGGCAAACCTAATGATTTATTATTTGAAAAATGGGAACATTCGCCCTCACTGAAATGGCGTAGCATAACGCATGAAACAAAGCGCTTCTGCTGTTCAGGCGTAAGCTCTGAGTTGTGATCTAGAATCAAAGCACTCTACCATAGCTGTGTGAACAGCTGAGCTGGGAAGTCAGAAAGAGCAGGCTGTTCGGCAGTGAGTATCAATGCCATCTTGAGACCATGCCCCTGCCGTCCTGTGGATGGCAGCTGTAATTTTGAAGGTATGTATTTAAGTTTATGAGTAAGCTGCTACACCACCTAAATTTCACTCCTATGTGGCCTGGCGAAAGGGTTAGTGATCTAAACAGCAGTGATCACAACTGTGAATAAACTGCTGAAGTACAACTAACTGTAAAATAACTTACTCATTCCACCATCTCTAGCAGTATGAACTCCACAAACAAAACCCAAACAGACCAAGGTCACTGCTCCTACTCGAATTCTGGAATGAAAACAGGCGGCTAGAAAATACTTAGGGCCAATGGCAAGTCAGCCAAAGCCAAGCAAAGGGAAGCACAAGAGAGAGAGAGAGAAAAAGCCAATTACAGAACAGTTTCAGAGACCATATCATGTGTCTTAACAGTGCTGGTTTTTGGAGGCAGGGTTTGAAGCTGAATAAAAGGTCACATGTTTCCAGACACAGATTAAAGTGAAGCGTGAAGATACCTGAACAAGTCTCACCATGACCCTAACTCCGTTGCCGAAAGGCATGTGGCCAGACACTACGTATCACTCAAAGCTGACCTCAATGGAGACAGCTGGGCAACTCAGGTCCTGGAGACACAGACCAATGCTGATTTTGCCTTCACATCTGTTCTTCTTCTCATACCAGTTTTGAGGTACAAGAGGACAATAAGATAAGCTAAGAGAAGAAAGTGCCAATGGCAGGAAATGTTTTACTAGCAGACCATATACAAAAGAAAACCATATATGGGCATTTTCTTTGATAGGGATTCAAAGGCCATAAACTACTTAGAGAAATTAAAATGAAGAACAGAAAAAAAAATGGGGCCTACTTACCCATTCTGTATGGCAGCTGTGGGGTCATAGGTCAAAGCCATGCCAGCCTGCATAGAAGGGGAGAAGAATAAAAAAAAAAATCTCAACATTTTTATTATAAACATTAAGTTTATAATACAAAACATTCAGTTCAAAAAACTTTGTGTTCTTAAGGTTTCCCCCTTTTATATGTTTCTTTACCTTTCTTCCCTGATGGGACAAGTTTCACTATCTTCAACCAGAATCCACCAGAGAGATGGGAGTGTATATAATATGATTCACATAGACCAAGTGATGATAAGGCTTGATTGATTTCCATCTTTACTTCATAAACCATTGCTGTCTAATTTGGTAGGCTGTAGCTCTCTTGGTAGTGACAGGAGCAGCTATATATCAGGCTATGAAAAAAAAAAAGAAGGCACCTGTAGCCCTGATTAAAACAACAGGTCCTTGAAATGCATCTAACCTGAGAGAAAAGGTATTAAGAAGTATTTACTTTAAGAGAGTTTTATACCTCAGAGGTAAATGGGTAATGGGTTATAAAGAGCTTGTCTGATGTATTGATACTCCCTGTCCTGCTAAAAGTAGGAAAATAGGGGGAGGTCATTTATTCAGGATGGAAAATTCTAGCCATGTGGCTAATGAAGAAGAAGTCTTATTCTGCTTTTAAATATAAGTATTAAGTACACACACACACACACACACACACACAAAACAAACAAACAAAAAAAAACATCTCTATAACTGGCAATAGTTTCAGAAATGCAAATAAACTTTACTGTGGCCACTCTGTAGCCAGCCTTCTTGTCCCTTCATCTGCCGTGAGACTCTGAGCCTCGTGACAGCTCTATGAAGTATGCAGAAGAAGTCTCTCTCTGTTCCATCAACAAAGGCACTGAAACTTGTTGAGGTCAGCAGCTTGCTCAAGGTCACAAACCTATGTTAGACTTGGGCTGAGGGCTACCCAAGACTCTTTCTCTCTGGACCCTTAGCTGTTATAAAAGAAAAGGAAGGCACTATCTGTGACTGTTTGTGGATCTGTAATTCTGCCTTCTGAAGCTAAGGAAGTTTACCAGGCACTCAAAGCCATCAGAAGGTACAGGGGCTTTATCCTGTATGATAGATGCTCATTAGCAAGAAAGCCAAATCTCCCCTACTCAACGTGCTATATAGAAGTCAGGGGCAATATGACTATCGTCAATTACATGGCATAGCGCTCATGGCACCATCTTTTCCAGGATAGCAGAGCCTTCTCTGTGCTGTGTAGACAGATAACTTTGGGTATCCCAGGACCCCTTGTGTAGTTAGTACTTGTCAATAGAAATAAAATGTAGAAAGGAGTTCAAAATAGCTAAGGTTATCTTTAGGGTGATATTTTTGTTTTTATTTTGAAATTAATAACAGAATCCTATCAGTGTGATTTTTTTTTCTGTCTTTTAAAACCTGCCACAATTATATAAAAGTAAACAGTGGGGTATATATAGGAAAGTTGGTATGTATAGGGACTCCTGCAAAGATTTTACAACTTTCCATGACTCCATAATTACATAAAATAAGGAGACTAGAAGTATAAGTGAATGAGCTTCTAGGACGTCTCAAGGTAGAAGAAAAGAAGAAAAAAATTAAAGAAATCAAAGAGCTTTCCAGTTTCCCCATCAGACTCTTTGGATTTAACACATAACTGAAAGGAGCTATCTCGTGCTCTGTGGGCTGTGATTGCTGCCTGTAAGCTCACATTTCTCCTATGATTTTCACAAGCGATGCTTTGAATGTTATTTAGACTGGAGTGAGGAACTAAAGCTTAAGCTTAAGGTCATGGATGATGGGAAGTAGCATGATGGGAGAGAATCCAAAAACTGGCATGAAGCTTACAAATAGACTGAGAATCTTTTACAAGTCAGCAGAAGTGCCTGGGGTGTCTTCACTAAGGAAGTTTACCAAGCACACTAAGCTATCAGGAGGGAAGAGGGAACGTCCTGTACAATGGACACACCTTAGGATGTTAACTAAAGTGACAAACAATTCCCCCCATCCTCTTGCATGGACAACAGAAGAACAGCAAGCTGCTGCAGCAGGGGAGGGGTGCCTGGGGCAAAGAGGTGGGTAGAATCTAAGGTGAAGTTGTTACCTACTTCAGGATTCTAACACTGAGTACCTTCAGAAGGGAGGAGGTAACCAAGGAAGGCAAAAGTTAAACAAAGGGATTTCGTTTTTTTGACCAGTGTTGGCTGGGTGTCCCGGTCCAGATGCAGGGCTTGTCTGCACCTGGGGCTCACCTTGAGCGTGACAGATTGCTGAGTTATAATGCTCACACGCTCTTAATGCAGATTCTGCATTCAATTTCCCTTTGTCTCTTCTCACAAAGACGGGGAAGAAATTGATTTCGCTGCTCTGTCTAGCCCCCTTTAGACAAAGCCAGAGGCATGAAATTACTATTGTGTAATCGCCGACTATGATGGCATGTTGACAAGCTCCTGAGTCACAGGGAGAAACATAACGTAAAATATCTTGGAACAAAATGAAACTGTCACACCAGATATGTGAAGAAGAGATGTTTAATCCTATTGACTACTTTCAAAAAATGGCTTGTTATGTTTACAAGAGCTGTCTATGTTTCTGGCTCACATTAGTTGTATATTAGTGGCATAATTTATTTTAAACAAAATTGTGTACTTATATCTCTTCTTAACAACAACTAAGCTTTGTCTTAGTATTTCAGCCATAATAGGGCACTTCTCAGACTTGTAGGTTCAAAAATTGATGAGCAGTAAATATTTTAGAAAAAAACAAACTCTTTATTGGATACAGTATCATTGTTGTTTTAGAGAGTTTTGCTATGATGTTCAGGCTGGCCCAGAACTTGTAATCCTCCTGCCTCAGGCATATACTACCAGGCCAGAAGTGAAGGTAACTTTATTTTTAATAAGATTGGGAGATTCTCTGAAACAAGCCAGAAGATTGACTTAGAAGCTGGGTGTTGGCTGGTCAGATCTAAGTAATTTAGTGGGTTATATCAACAGGTTAGAGTTATCCACAGCGCACACGCATCCACATACACATGTCTGCTGCAGAATGAGCAGCTGAGACACTCCTTCTTATCTGTGAAGGGAGACACTGAGACTATTCCAAAACCAAGAAGATGGCTGGCAATTTTTTTTTGTCTTTTCCTAGGTTTATTTGGACACACAGTGTCTCCTAACCAGATGGGTAACAGAGAAGCAATCCTGAGACCGGTAGGCTCCTGTGACAACATTTAAAAACCATTAGAAAACACGCCCTACATATGACACTTTAGAAAATTAACTGTTGTGGAATAGATAAATGCCTGTTCAAGAAATTTGCGAGCAAAGCAGACTTTGAGGGAACACTGGATGACACCTCACTGAAATGTAGGTTTTCAAACAAAAACTGAGAGTATCCTTTAGAGTCCTGACTTTACCAGCATAACTTCCTTTTGAAAAATCTGAGGTGGACTCAGCTAAACTTGTAAAGCCCTTGGCTGGTGGCAGACATGGGGGAAAGAATGTGACCACTAGGCGTGGAGACTTTTCAGCACCAGACAAAAGCCAGCAGCCAGCCAGAGCTGAGTTGTGGTCGTGCCTCTGGAGGAAGGAGATGAAGAGGGAGATCAGTAAGCCCTCCTGTGGGGCAGGACCAGCCGCTAAGCATTGCCTGGACTCCTTCAAGAGGACTATCAAGAATCAGGCGAAAGCAATATTGCAGATTTATCACTTTCAAGGTAGCCAGTGCTGCCAGAGAGCCAGGAGAAATGAGTTCTTTGTGTCTGATAGAATCAAGCTGAGAAGGCGCCAAGCTGTTGTTTTAGGCATGATGTCATTACTGAATTTCTGCTTCTTGGCTTCTTGTAAAAAACGTTCCTGCCAGAGGATGTCTGCCTTATATAGCAACAGGGAAGGACAAGATAAAACAAATGTGAAGGGATCACAGGATGGAAAGCTGATAATGCCTGAGCTCTTCCAGGAAGAGCTTGGTGGTTCAATGAGAAATGGGTCAAAACAAGCATATTTTTATTTTTCTGTGGAGTGTGTTGTCTGTTCCACGGGTGTAAATACATCACGCATGTGCAGTGTGCACAGAGGTCAGAAAATAGATCAAATCCTCTGGAACTGGAGTTACAGGCAGCTGTGAGTCACCATGTGGGTGGACGGAACCCAGGTCCTCTGTAAGAGCACCCAGTTCTTTTAACTGCCAAGCTCTCGCTCCAGTTCCCGGACTGTCGTTTCAAACTGTGATGTGAAGTAAATCCTTCTTCCCCTATGTTGCTTTTTGGCAGGAGTTTAGTCGCAACAATGAGTGAAGTCACTAACACAGGGAGTCTGTTTTTAATCTTAGTCTAAACGTCTGAACTGCGCAGATTCGAAGGCACAGTTTTGTTTTTCTCACATCTTTATATCTGTGAAATCAGGATTCCCCTAATAACTGCTGGCATTTCATAGTTTGTCAAGTCATCTTTCTCTCTTTTCAGTGGTGTTTAAAAGAATACAACAGCAGTTCATCTGTAACCGATGGTGTTTCACACTCCATGATGTAGCAGACATACTGCCCAAACCGCTGTGACATGGTGCCCAAGTGTGGAAAACACAGACTTCTGAGGCTGCAGTGGGTGAGTCTGAGGAGCTAACAGAGCAGAGGTGCCTGGATGATCGATCCAGATTCTTCTAGGTCCCGGGTTTGGTTGATACTACCTGGAAGCTACCACCAAAGCTTAGCCATTGTTGGGGATGCTCTGGAGGTCTTGAGAAGCTAGGGTAGCCAGGATATGCCAGCAATTCCAGAAATAGCTCAGCTGATTGATGCTACGCTTGGCTGTCATGGCTTCCTCGTTTGATTCAGACAGGGGACATGGAGACCAGCCCTCAGCCTTTCTTCCTGGAAATGCTTGCTGTAATATTCCTGGTCTCACGCCACTTCTAGGCTGCGCACACCTAATCCTTAACGTAAGTATTTTCCCTGCTACAATGCGGGTAGCCAGAGGACTCAATACACCGGTTACCTTTGATATTAAATTACCATATTATAGAGACTTACATTCATAATTGCTATCTTT